GCCCAGATCCGGCCGCTGTTGAAACTGATCAGCGGCTGATTCCAGGAAGCCGGGGGCAGAGCAACTCTGCCTAGGGCTTCCTGTAGTCAGCCCCTGATCAGTTTCATCAGCGGCTGAATCTGGAACCAGTTCCAACTTACATACAAATTCAGCTTAAGAACAAACCTATAGTCCCTATCTTGTACGTAACCCGGGGACTGCCTGTATTATTTTAATATCTTATAATGTCCACCTTTGTCTGCAAAGGAACATAAAAAATCAAATATAATCAGGATTATTTCAAACTGTGCCAAGTTGAATCAGGGAAATTTGTATGAGTAAGTTTTTTAAATGCAAATTAAATAAATTGCAAATCATTTTTAATGAGAATGGGGAATCTGCCTTAATATTGATCTAACATGAAAGATTCTTCCTCCAAATGAGAAATGGTACATCTTACATGTAGTTGAATTATTTGCCTAATGCTTTATGATCCAAATAATGGAAGGGGGGATTCTATGCACATAAGAAACCTGTTATATGAGAACAGAAGTGACCTATTTTTGGTGTGATCTTGGGTACTCCTGACTTTCTCAAGGTATCTGATTTTTATCTGGCTACTGCATTCCAATAACTGCTTGTGTGGATTCTCCAACACTTCTCTTCTTTGATCGTCTCTGTTTTTTTTTTCAACCTGTGCAAGTCAGAGCAAGGAAATGAAGAGGCATCACAGGTGAACAAAGGTTGCTTGTCCTTCCACACAGTAGCTTTAAGTCAGGAAAATCCCCCCATTCTTACTGTATTACTGAGGGTGCAGAACTGTAGTAGTGGAGTGAGGAGAGGAGTGAAATCACAGCAGAAAGCACACTTGGAATAAGCATGTGAAGGGGAGATGAAAGAGAACTCAGAATCCATAAGAAATCATCCTTCTTTCTACTTTTTAAATATGAAATGGACACTATGAGGTCAATGTATTTGTATTATAGGAAGATTTACTGTCATTTCTAAGATTTCTCATTGGCATTATCTTAGGACATATTACACAAGCACTTACTGTTCACCAAACTGGGTGTAAATTTAAGTGCTAGTGTAGACATGCCTGACGCTCCTTACGCAGCTCCCATTACTCTAGTACTGTGATGTTTCCTGGTGTACCCAGGGTTATGAGGCATCTTGTCCTTAGTATAAAGAAGCCTTGTTCATGTCTGCCACAGGTCAGCTCCTTACTTCCCCAGGGAAACAGGTCTCTGCCTACCTGGGTCTGATGTCCCTCTGCAGGGAAGTGCACAGTCCCTGCCCTTTTCCACTGGACACTCTCACTGCCCCCAAAGGAACTGTACAACCAGTTTACTAGTTACCACTCAGCTCACTGCTCCTCATAACAAATAAAAGTTTAGGTAACACAAAGTTTCAAGGGGGAGCAAGTAGAACTAATGGAAACAAATAGTTACATATAACATAAAACCATAACATGCATTCTGGAGCCTAGATTTATTAGTTGCTGTCATGTCTTATGTGACAAAGTGCACCCTAAATTCTTCCAGCATGTTACAGCCAGGCTTGGCTATGATCTTCCATTCATGAGACAAGTCATGTTGTCAGCTTGCCTCGTCAGTGGAACAAATCAGAATGTTTCCCTGCACCCCTATTTATACACCCAATCCATTATCTTTATCATAAACTGGAGTGACTAGGCCCTAGATCAGTGGTCACCAACCAGTAGATCTTGGAGCCTCTGACAGGTGATCCTGACTGGTTTGGCCAAGAGGCACTTTAGTTGCCCCTCCCCCTACTGCTGCGCATCTCCTGCCCTTTGCCTTGGAGCTGCCTCCCCCCACCCCCAGCAGCCTCCTACTTGCTGTGCAGGTCAGGAGAGGGAGAAGAGGGGTGCTGATGTCAAGCTGCCCCCTCTCCTACCCTGTATCCTATCTCCACAGAGTAGAGAGGGGGCACAACAGGACTTGAGATGGTGTTTGCTGGCTGCTTTTGGGAATAGGGCAGGGGTGAGCCTGCCTTAGCCCCTTTGCACCACCACCCAGGAACCACCTGAGGTAAGCAGAGTCCAGTTGGAGCCCACATCTTGAAACTCTACCCCAGTCATAAACCCCCTCCTGTACCCATAGCCCTTAGCCCCACTGCATCCAAACACCCTCCCAGAGCCTGCACCTAGATCCTGCTCCAGCACCCCAATGGCCTGCCCCAAGCTCAGCTCAGAATCCCTCTCGCACTACAAATCCCTTAGCCCAAGACCAGAGCCTACACTCCAATCCGTTGCCCTTGCCCTGGGGGGGAGGCAGGATAGAATGAGCAGGGGTGGGGCTTTGGAGAAGGGGCACAAAGGAGACAGGACAAGTGTATTTGGCTCTGAGGTAGATCTTGGATTGCACTTAAATTCAAAAAGTGATCTCATGCTTACAAAGGTTGGAGACCACTGCACTAGCTGCTTGGTTTTTTTCTTGTGTGTGCCCTATTGTTTTTGCTGAAACAGACTAACATGGCTACCTCTCTGAAACCAGTCTGTATAATGAAGCAGACACTACACAAAAAACCCTTGATCACTCACAGGAGGGGAAAAGCAGCTCTTCGCTCTTGCTTGCCAAGAGCATGTTCATCACCTTCTGTTGACCTGTCTTAACTCGCACATACCTTGAGAATACAATTTTCAGTTCAGATACCTAATTCCACAAACTTTATCAAAACACACATTTCAAATTTATTGTAAGTCGGATGCTGACTCTTGATAGTATTCTCTCATTACCCTTTAGAAAATTATTATGCATATATCTGATGCAAGGGATTCCGCTCAGTACCCCTGTGCTTTTGGCCAGTTAGCATCAAGAAGTCTCTGGGTCACAAGTAGCTGGATACCACAATCTGTAATGTATTAATTTAGCTTCACAACATCCCTGAGGTTGGACAGTGCCTTTATGCCCCTTTTACAGCCAGGGAACTGATGCACAAAGAGACCTAGTCACACAGGCCTCACCTCACACAAGAAATCTGCAGTAGAGCAGGGACTTGAACTCAGCTGTCCCAACTCCTAAATTAGTATCTCAACCACTTTCTGTCAAGCTGTAGGGCCCCTGCTGGCAGATCACATCGCAGGCTGTGTGCAATGTGGGGTCATGGGGCAAAACTAAGTTTAATTTGACATCCAAATGGAGGGAAAGTGAGCAGAAAATGTTATCCATGTTAAGCCCCTGATCCCTCAATCAATTCCCAGATTGCAGATCCCTGCGCTTGCCTGGAGCCCCACTGAAGCCAGTAAGGCTCCATGATCCTCTGATTGTAGCTCAATGCAGGCCTGGGTTTGATACCGTTCAGTTTCCATCATCTATGACACGGGGGAAAGTTTTGGGAAACCTTTGCAAAGGGCCCGTCTGCCAGTGCATCACATGCCGCAGGCTTCGCTCGCCCAGCCCGGCAGAGCAGCTACAAAGGAAGCCGCCTGCATCAATCAGCCTGCGCGCTGACACCAGCCCGAGCCCCGCCGGCGGAGAGCGAGCACTGCGGCAGGCCGGGCCACGGGCACAAGTTGTTCTCGCGAATTGGTTGGGCGGCGGAGCAGCACGGGGGCTCAGGGACCCCGGCGAGCCAGCAGGGGCAGTGCGGGAAAGGAGGCTGCTGGGCGGGGGGAGCTGCTGCAGCCCGGCCCGCCTGGGTCGGACCGTGCCCGTTGCTAGGGGATCGCTTCCTTAGCAGCGAAGGGCTTGTCTGTGCCCAGCAGGGGGCCGGCGGCCCGGGGCTCCCAGGAGCTAAAGGGGGGGCGTGCGGCGCTGCCGGGGGCTGGGCTTTGCGCGCGCGCGGCCAGGCTAGCGGGGGGGAAGGCTGCGCTGCCACTCCCTTGCCAGGCGGGCGGCATGGAGGCTGCAGTGGCCGGGTTCCCCGAGGAGGCGGTGGCGCCGCCGCGCTGCTGCTGCTATGACTTCGAGCCGCTGCCGACGCTGCTGGAGGATGAGGTGAGTGTGGCCAAGTGCACTCCTCCCCCCCCCTCTTGGCAAGAGCTCAGCTCTGGCCCCCGCATGCACCTGCTGCCCTGCAGGCACTGGCGGTAGGTAGGTAGGTGTTAGTCGCGTCTCCGCTGCTGGTTCCCCGGCTGCGCTTCCCCGCCCCCTCAGCCGCCACGGCGTTCAGCGGGGTGGTGCCCAACTGGGGGACAATCTCTGGAAGCGTTGAATTAACGGGGAACTAAGTCTGGACTGGCCTTTCAGAAACTTTCCCCGTGACCTGGCCGTCGCCTTTCAGTTGTAGAGGGAGCCGGAGTCTCCTCCCGTTTGAAAGCGATGCGGGTAAATTGCAAAGCGCTTACCCCTCTAAGCAGCAAGTTCTAAAGGAAATGTTCGAAACTGTCTGCTGCCTGTGAAACCGCAGCATAGGCACATCTCTGGCCGAAGCTTTAAGATTAGCACTGATCAAAAGTCTCAGGAGCCTTACTACACAGGGACTAGAGAAGTATATTTAGGGACCATTACAAACAGGCATTTTTTCATGTCACTAAGACTGCCTGGCTCCCTGTTTCCTTTTAGCCCCAAAGAAATCTGGGTTCCTAAATGGACTTACTCCCTTACCCCTACTTCTTGCTACAACATATTCATCAATATGCTTTAACTGCTGTATCATAAATATTGTCTACAGACTGTGTTACAATGAAAAATGTAGTAGCAATTTACAGACTAACAAAAAATGTAGATAGTATCGCGATTTTTCATGGGCACAGCCCACTTCTTTGTGGGTTGTGCCCACGAAAGCTCATGATACCATCTACATTTTTGTCAGGTGCTGCAAGACTATTTGTTGTTTTTTAAACTTCTCCAGCTATAAACTAACAGGGAGACTATTTGTTGTTTTTTAAACTTCTCCAGTTATAAACTACTCTTCTGAAACTTGTGTTACAAATATTGGCATATGATTTCATTGTAACATTAATCAGACAAAATCACATCAGTTAAGACTCCTTCAATAATAAGAAAACATTTATTTCTTCAGTAAAGACTTAATTGCTGCCATGTGAACAGCATTTTAAGCAGTAGGAAATGCTGCTAAATCAGTTTATACTGTTTATTTGCTTAAATTACTCACTGTACTAAATCAACATGTAAAGATAGAGCTGGCTCTAGTTTGAAATTGTTTGTTTTGTCATACATAGTTCTACTCTTGCATTACTAAGCTCTGACTTGCGTCTCCATAACTCAAAGAATGATTTGGAGCATGGTGCTTGCCTCATTTGGATAACACAGACCAAAAATATTTTAAGTGGTAGTTTAGTGATGGATACATTTCATATATGTATTAGGTTCAATTGCTCAAAGAGCAACCTCCCTTCCTTCCTCTCTCCCCCCCCCCCCCCATTTTTTCTGTTGTTTTCTGCTTTAAAATGAGATGGAAATGTGATAAGAATGGTACTGGCACTGAGAGAGGAAGAAATGTTTGAAAATGAAGTGGTGTGCAGAATTAAGCAAATGTGCCAAACCAATTAGTACTTTGAGTAGGGATGTGCATGTTTAACCAGTAAGTGTCACTCTTAATGCCCCTGTCTGTGGCAAGCCCCTTGCTGGTAGCAGGTGGGGAGCTGCTCCAGCCCCACTGGTTAACAGGTAGAAGCTGTTCTGGCTGGACTAGAGCAGCCTCTGCCTGTGGTGGGAAGTGGGAGGTGTTTCCACCCAGCTTGGCTTGAGCACACTCCACCCTCCACTTGCACCCTTTTTATCAGTTAAATGGTTAAACAGTACGTTCAACCGGTTAGCCAATTTAAATGTGATTGTACATCCCTAACTCTGAGCAAAATAGTGGAAAATCCAACATCCTGTTTTTCCACACCTTGCCCCTTGTATAATTATTTCCTCTTCTTCAAAGTGAGTGTAAAATACTGTCATTTTGGTTTGGTCACACTCATTTTGAACAGATAAGTGACTACATAGGTGCAAGGTAGGGGAGAAGTAGGCCCCTAATGTTTGGTTCTGAAAGGTGACAGCTAAATAATTTCTAAAAAAGACATGCATGGCTACATCTACACTAGCAGCTTCTTGCTCAAGAACTGTTTTGCGGAAGAGTTCTTGCGCAAAAAGTCTTCCACAAGACCGTGTCAACACTGGCATGTGCTTTTGCACAAGAGCATCTATGGCAGTGTGGATGCTCTCTTGTGCAAGAAAGCTCTGATGGCCATTTTAACCAGAGGGGCTTCTTGCACAAGAAATTCAAGTTGCCTGTCTACACTGCCCTCTTGTGGAAGAGCTCTTGCACAAGAGGGCTTATTCCGTGGGGAGAGGAATAACTCTTCTGGAAGAAGCCCTGTTTTACAACGCTATACTGTAAATTTACTTGTGCAAGAACGCGCGTGCAGTGTAGGCAATAGGCAAGTTTTTGCGCAAGAACAGCTCTTCTTGCGCAAGAAGCTGCCAGTGTAGGCATAGCCATGCTGGTTTTTGTTGCTTCTGAAAATTTTAATTTTCTGCCTGGTTTTTACTCTTGCAAACATCAGGCATCTCAGCTCTGGGTTTTCCTGCTTGATTGGAAGACCTGTTAGGGAGATGAGAAGTTTCATGGCAAGCACTGGTTCTTCTTAAATTTTTAACTAAGACTTCCTTTCTCCATATTGCTCCAATATTTCAATCAGTTATTGGAGTTAGTTAGAAAAACCAAACAAGGATAGGTCTCAACAGTACTAAGTAAAAGTCCCTGCTTACCCCGAAGAACTACTCTGTTAACTTCATTACACTTCGTTGTCATTTTACTAATTTATCATAGTTTCCTGGGCTAACTAGGATCTAAATTTCTAAGTTAACAATCAGGCCTCCAGTATAAACATTAGATATTCAAAATATTGCACAATGTCCTTCTTCAAATTTTCTTTTCTCTGTCATCCCATTGGCAGAATACTTCATATTGTGTGCATGTGATTTCTGCCCCCCCTCCTCTTTTTATGACTCCTTTAAGTCTATAATTTTATTATCCCACTGGAAATAAAGTTGAGGATCTCCAATGTAGCATTTTCACCAGTTTGGCATGGGTGGATTTCATCTTCTCTAGGTAGATACTGTACTGAAGTTATTCAGGCTTCTCTGTCAGAATGGAAATGATTCTTTCATCTTCCATGGAGAAGCATGGCCTATATAGTGATAAAGAAGCTGGATTTGGGATATTTGCCTTCAATATGCTGTATTCCCTTCCCCACAATTTTCCTTTTTCTCAGGAAGTCCTGTCTGATTTTTTTTTAACTTACAAAAGTAGTTACATAGCACTTTCTCTTTCTTCTTGTATCTTTGCCAATGTCAGTGTAGAATTCATCAAGTAGTAACAGTCAAAAGAGAGTAGCCTAGACCATAAAGAAAGCTCATAGTAATGCAAATAATAAGTAATTTGGAGGAGGGACAGGCTGCTGTTCTCTTCACAAATTTGAGTAGGATCAAGTAATCCACTTGTGAGCACTGCCCAGTGGCCTGTTTCCCTGAGCCTGTCACACAGTGGAGAAAATTTGGCACAATTATGTTTACTCTCAGAGCATTGAGCATGAATACAAATCTCTTAGCAATTTGGAAGCCTATCAGGGATATCTTGTTATTCCTCAGACTGAACCAGATTATTGATTGTTGCTGATTCATGAATCATGACTCAATAAGTTTTCCATAACTGCCCTTTGGAAGATCTCCCAGACTGCTTTCAGAATATTAAGGATGCTTATTTTATTGACACAATTAAAGCATTCTTAGGAATAATCAAGGAGAATGATTAAAAGTTGGAGACACAAAAGTGGGGTGATGGTGGGGAAAACAAACTCTTAATCTCTTAAAGTACTATAGAAGAGCTAGATGTTATGGCAAGCTCCTAAGAGTCCACATTTGAATAGATACTCTGTATTCTAGATTTGAGAAATGGCCTTTTTGCTGTCCTGTTTGTCAAGGAATAGTCTATTAATTCCTCTCTGTTCACTCTGTTAGATACCTCTTTACATGTAAATGCTGTTTTCACATTTAAGTGTGCCTTATGGGGTAATTTACTGGTGGTAAACATCCAGGTTTGTCGGTGAACCACAAAGCATTTTCAGAGACTGTAGAATCTAAACTTATATCCCTGAAAAGGTTTCTAACCACATGATAAAGATCTATCAGAGTTGATGTGATAACACAAGCAATGAGTCTACAGAAGACCTAATATAGGTGTTGCAGCAGCCCCAAGCTTGAAGTGGCTCCTTTATATATTAGGGTTTAGAGTTTGATTCAATGGCTCTCATTGCTCCTGTGCCTGTGGATGATCATGAGATATGGCTCTAGGAGTGTAAGGTCTCCTTGATTAATTCATTTTGTTGAGATGCTAACTTGCAAGCCTGATGAGCCTTGAACTTGAAGGAAAGATTTTTTCAAAAGGGCCCAAGAGATCTAGGAATACAAATCCCACTTAAAATCAATATGGGCACATGCTCCAAAATCACCCCAACTTTTAGAAAATATCCTCAAGATTTAGCATTCATTATTTGATTCCTGGTTATTTTAAGAGAAGGAAGCATACAGTCCTAGAAGTTTATAAATCATAAGAGCCGGTCAGAACTTCCAATGCATCGTCCTGCCAACATAAAGTTATTCTCTGGTTTAGTAATTAGGCTGTGAAGAAAGCCTTAAGCTGTGAGTCATGTATTACCTTGACCATTGGGGAGCACTGGATAAACAAAATCCTGGGGCAACCATCAGGCAGCTGGAAACTCCTTATCTAAAATTTTGACTTAAGGTATTGGGGAGGGAGGAGAGGGGGCAGAGCATGTGTTGTATTACCTGAGGCTCAGAAAATAAGCATCTTTCAACATCTCTTTGAAGGAGACAGATGGGGAAAACAGGCAAAATGAGCTTGAAGTGACTTCCTCAAGGTCACACAGGAAGCTTGTGGCAGAGTCAAAAAATTAATCCAAATCTCCTATGACCTAGTCCCTGTTCCTTTACCTCACTTCTGTCTTTTTTTTTTTTTTTTTTAAGTGTGGTGCAGGAGTGTCTCAATTTAAATAGATTAGAAGAATACCTGTTTTTGGATATTAATTTGAGATGTTCTTGCAGGAGATTTCTGTTTCCTAAGATACTTTTTGCGCTGAAAGTATTTTACATTAAATACTTGGGGGTAGGGGTGGGAAGTTAAATTCTTTGTCCTAGGAAGTCTGAAAATTTGCTAGAATCACATCAGGTTGTGTATTGTAGATTACATTTGACAAAATTGGCTACAAGTAATGTCAGGAAATGCAGAGTAATTCTGAATTCATGTCTTGGCAGGAGAATGTGTCCCTTGCTGATATTCTGTCTCTGCGGGATAGCTGTCTTACTGAGCAGGATATCTGGGCAATTTGCCTGGAGTGTAGCCATTCTATGAAGAGCATCTTCCATTCAGCAATCTTCCAGACACTTTGCATTACTCCTGACACTTTGGCTTTTAACACCAATGGCAATGTATGCTTCATGGAACAACTCAGTGGTAAGTATTTATGCTTCTAGGCAATTTGTTTAAAAGTATGCAAAGTCATGCTGAGAGCATGTAGTAAAACAAACTTGCAAAGATTTAATTGGACTGCAAAGCAGAATTTCTTGATGAATGGCAGTCCAGGTGAAACTAAACTAGGTTTAGGAGCACTATACAGTCACTTTTTACACTAATAATAAATTCAATTGGAAACCTTTATTTAATAAGATCCACTTGTTTTCACAGATTTTTTTCCCACATGAGTCTAATGCACTTATTTTAAACATAATAAACAATAGATTTGTGCAGATATTTGTTTGCATGTATGAAAGTATGGGCAAAAGTATAATTGTGATGCTTTTTCTCTTATCTAAAATTTGTCCATGAAAGATGGACATTTAGCATTTTTGAGGTGGAGTTGGCTGTAGATCTAGCAGTAGAATAGATATGACCTGATCGTTCTTTTCCAGAATGGAGGATTGAGTTCTGGTGAGGCCACATCTGGAGTATTGTGTCCAGTTCTGGGCCCCCAACTACAGGAAGGATGTGGACGCATTGGAGAGGGTCCAACGTAGGGTGACCAAAATGCTTAGGGGGCTGGAGCATATGACCTATGAGGAGAGACTGAGGGACTTGGGTTTGTTTAGTTTGCAGAAGAGAAGAGTGAGGGGGGGATCTGATAGCAGCCTTCAACTTCCTGTAAGGAGGTTCCGGAGAGGCTGGTCACAGTAGTGACTGATGGCAGAACCAAGGAGCAGTGGTCTCAAGTTACAATGGGAGAGGACTAGGTTGGATATTAGGAAAAACTATTTCACTAGGAGTGTGGTGAAGCACTGGAATGGGTTACCTAGGGAAGTGGTGGAATCTCCATCCTTAGGGGTTTTTAAGTCTTGGCTTGACAAAGCCCTGGCTGGGTTGATTTAGTTGGGATTGGTCCTGCCTTGGGCAGGGGGCTGGACTTGAGACCTTCTGAGGTCTCTTCCAGTTCTATGGTTCGATGATATCTGTATGTGGTAGAATTCAAGATCTTTTATATATTGTTGGAGACATACTGATGCTGACCTTCACAAAAAGATATCTGATTTCATAATAAATTAAGGTCTATCATTAGATAAGATGAAAAGAAATCAGCAAAAATCTCATGAACAATAGACTCTCCCAATGCAGGAAATTACAACTAAGAAAATTGCACTGGAGAATGAGGAAGGGGGAACCTAGTACCTATCTGTATAAGCCTCATTGATTGGTAGAGTCTTGTAAATCTGTGGATATCTGCATCTAAGGCTCATTTTTGCAGATTCAGATGCAAATACAAATTTTATATCTGCACAGTACTCAAGATCAGTTCCACTCTATACCTATTCTCCTAAGTTTAAATGTCATTAAAGCCTAATGAATTTTTAATAAAATGACAGAATGACTAAATCTATCATTTTGCTTCTAGATTGCATTAAGTGCGTGTGCTATAATTTTGATATACCTCTTGAAAGGACACTGTAGGAATGGGAGATATCATTTGAATTGCATAATATTAATGATATTATATCAGGTTAAAAATCATAGTTTTAAATCAAATGTCCTTGTTTGGGATGTCATAAAACATGATGTCATAAAGCTGAAAATATATTTTAAAATGTATTCATTATTTGTTTGTATTTCTTATCTTGAACAACTTCAAAATAGATTTGATTCATATTTAAGTCTAATACATTTTCAGATTCCCATGTACTAGCCCTTTGCTGCAATAGTTGGTTTAACACTAGAGGTGAATTGATTTTTTTGTGTTAAAGAAATTGTTTCTATTATAACTTCAATAAAGTAACACTTCTATTCAGTTTTGTTAAAGTTCATTCTTACAAAATCTAAATCTTGGATCAAATTTGACCTGGTGTGTGTGTATGTGTTGTTTTGTTTCTTTAAAAAGAAAAAAAAACTTGGATCAAATTTGACCTGGTGTGTGTGTGTGGTGTGTGTGTGGTTGTTTTTTTTTTAAAGAAACAAAACGTCACTAAAGGGGGAATATGTCTAGTGGACCAAAGTTCTTTGAACTACCAAAAATTAAGATCTTGGAGAATGAAAGGAAATGCCCATAAGAGATACAAATCTAAGCTTAGTTCCTGGTTGTCAGCCATTAGCTAACTTTGGCCACATGCAAATACTCAGTGTATGGGGTTTTCAGTGAAGCAAATTATATGAATGAACATAATTCATATTATTAGGAAGTCTTGATTAGGATGTTTCAAAATTTACTTCTAGTTGAAGAAACATTGCCTGTGTCTAGTAGTACTCAGAGGCCATGTCTATGCTAGGAAATTATTTCAAAATTACTAAACTCAATTTAAGAACTCCCAATTTAACATTCTAACTTGCATGTCCTCATGACAGGGAAACATCAAAATTAGTCCAAGTCAGGCTCTATTAATGTGGACACGCTACCTTAGACTTAGAGCAACCAGGAAGCACTCTGGGGAGCTATGGGAGGCTTCCCAGATGCCAGTTAGTTCAAATTAGCAGCACCACCCTGACGTCATTTCACACTTAAAGTTCAAAATTAGTGTTATTCCTCATGAAAAACAGGAGTACGGAGTTCGAATTCCACAGCCTACTGTTCTGAAATAACAGGCTTAGTAGTGTGGATGCACGAATTACTAATTTGAATTTGGGGAGGGAGGGTATTTGTGTATTGGACTATGGTTCTATTGTGGATCAGGGATAAGAGAAACTTAATACAGGCAGTCCCCGAGTTACGCGGATCCGACTTCTGTTGGATCCGCACTTATGAACGGGGCTTTCTCGCCCCGGAGCTCGCAGGCAGTGGGACTGCCCAGAGCGCAGTGGTCCCGCCACCTCAACCTCCGGGGCGAGAAAAGCTGCTCCGGGTGCCCCTGGTCTGCTGGGGACCGTCTCCAGCAGACCAGGGACACCGGGCGCAAAGCCGGGGAGGCGGAGGGGTCCTGCGGCGCTGGCGGTTGGGCCCTTAAGGAGGGGGAGACTTCTA